CTAATTAATATTAACATTTGTTTAATATTAAAATGTAATGCATATTGTTTGTAACAGTACACTGTTATTTTAAAGTGCTTTCCTGTCAATCAGTGTACTTATTGAATGTTTTTTCCTCCTCAGGGTATTCTTCTTACATGGACCAAAGGTTTTAAAGCAACTGATTGTGAGGGAGAGGATGTAGTTACTATGCTAAGGGATGCCATTAAAAGAAGAGATGTAAGTTGTAATTTTGTCATGTTTTCTATATCTTTATGTGATTGTTATGTGGGCCATGATGAGAGTACTGAAATGGAAATAAATCTTCAGTCCTCATCCAACCATTTGTGTCACCTTTAAAATTCTTTCTCCCATACGTGTTAGTCTTGTTTCCTTTTATATGCATTCACACTAGTCACCTTAATGACTTTCAGTGGCAGCAGATTTTCCATGCTAACATCTCCTGTTTTTTAAAAAAAAAGTTTGTTCTGATTTAAAAATGATTTCTTGCTTCCTGTCTTCTACATTATTTTTGGAAATAGAAGACCACTCCCATCATTTTTTTTTTTTTCTCAACAGTCTTACAAATGTCTGAAGAATTTATCTCTCCTTTAAAGCATTTTCACTTGGCCCATGGCCTTGAACATTATGACATTTCAAAAGTTCTTCCAAATACTTTCGAAAAGTTCTGAGGATTCCCACCATCTTCTATTTTCACTACCTTCTCAGGTGGTGCATTCCAGATTCTCACTGTCCTCGTACATAGTGAGAGCATTTGGGGATCCTAAGGTTTTGGAGTAGATCTGTAGCTTGGGTTGTGGGTGTTGAGGTTGGTTGGCTCACTGAGCTGGTTTGTTGTTCCGCAGACGTTTCGTTACCATGCTTGGTAACATCCTCAGTGCAGCCTCTGATGAAGCGTTGGTGTGTTTTCCCGCCTGGTTTTTAAACTCTGGGGTCCATTGCGATGGATTGCCTCACTTCCGGGTTTCCTCCATAATGGAATGTATATGGGGTTGAGTTCAATGTGTTTATTAATAGCATGTTTCGTGGAGTGCCATGCTTCCAGGAATTCTCGTGCTTGTCTCTGCCTAGCCTGTCCCAGGATCTTGGTGTTGTCCCAGTCGAAGTGGTGGGTTCTCCTTGTTCATGTGGATTGAGATGAGAGAGTATTGGTTGTGTCTTTTTGTAGCCAGTTGGTGTTCATGTACTCTTGTTGTTAGTTTCCTTCCTGTTTGTCCGATGTAGTGTTTCTCGCAGTCTCTGCAGGGGATCTTGTAGATGACATTGGTCCTGTCCATGGCGGGGAGTGGGTCTTTAGTTCGGGTGAGCACTTGTCATAGAGTTGATGTGGGCTTGTGTGCCACTCTGATGCCTAGCAGTCGTAGGAGTCTTGTGGTGAGTTCTGACGTGTTCCTGATGTAGGCTAGTGTGATGAGTGTGTCAGGGCGTCTAGAATCTTTCTGCTGTTACTGTAGTTCTTTGGATATCCATTATCCTTGAACACTTGGAAGAGATATTCTTCTTCCTCTTGGCATAGTTCCATGTTGCTGCAGTGTGTTGTTGCCCTTTTAAATAGTGTTCGCACGCAGTTTTGTTTGTGTGTGCTGGAATGGTTACTATTGAAGTTCAATACCTGGTCTGTGTGTGGCTTTTCGGTGTACTTTCGTTTGCAGTTCCCCATTTGTCTTGCACTCTACCATGACGTCCAGGAATGGGAGCTGTTTGTTCTTCATTTCCTCCTCTCTGGTGAATTTTATTCTGGTGAGGGTGTTGTTAATGAGTTCATGTGTCTCTTCTAATTTGCTCCGTTTAATGATGACAAAGGTGTCGTCTATGTAGCGTATCCATAGTTTAGGTTGGATTTGCGGAAGGGCAGTCCTTTCCAGTCTTTGCATCACGACTTCTGCTATGAGTCCGGAGATAGGCGACCCCATAGATGTTCCATTGATTTGCTCGACCAATACTCACTCATCTCAATTCACGTGGACAAGGAGAACCACCACTTCGACTGGGACAATACCAAGATCCTGGGACAGGCTAGGCAGAGACAAGCACGAGAATTCCTGCCAGTTACAGTTACCTGATATTCTTTGGGATGTACTGTAAATGTTGACTCAGTGTTACACACTACATTCACTATTTTCTTCATTGACGGTTTAAGGGGCTGACCCACATTCCTACTCACCACCCACTTTTTTGCTAATTTTTTTTAATAGGGCTTCTGGTGATCTGATATCCATTGTGATTTACTTTCATATTTGCTTTTTGTAGCTTTTGAAGGTTAAAGGATGATCAATAAAGTAAATTTTGTCATAGTCATAGATATCTACAGCACAGAAAAAGGCCTTTCAGCCATTGTCTGCACAGTCAAAAACCACCACCTAACTATTCAATCCCATTTTCCAGCACTTGGCCCGTAGATTTGAATGCCTTGTCATCGCAAGTGCACATCTAAATACTTCTTAAATGTTATGAATTTCTGCTACTATCACCCTTATAACAGGCAGTGAGTTCCAGAGTCCCACCATCCCCTGGGTGAAAATGTTTTCCTCGCATCTCTAAACCTCAACCCCTTATCTTAAATCTATGCTCCTTGGTCATTGATCCCTTCATCAAGGGGAAAGGTTTCTTCCTGTCTATCCTATCTATGGCCCTCATAATTTCATACATCTCAATCATGGCCCCTCTCAATCTTCTCTGCTGTAGGGAAAACAACCCTAGTCTCTCATCTCCCTTCATAACTGAAACTCTCCAACGTGGATAACATTCTGATAGAGATATTGGGAACTGCAGATGCTGGAGAATCTGAGATAACCAGGTGTAGAGCTGGATGAACACAGCAGACCAAGCAGCATCAGAGGAGCAGGAAAGCTGACGTTTCGGGCCTGCTTGGTCTGAGATGGAGCTACCTCTACAGCCACTTCTTTCCCCAGGGCTTTATCTAGTGGTGGAAGTTGGTCAAGACAGGTAGTCCTAAGATTTGATTCCCATTTTGATCAACCTCTCCTACTGGATGGAGCTCAGCCAATCTAAAAGAATAGTCTAAGAATGTAGAACCATACAGCTCAGAAGAGACCTTTCAGCCTGTTGAGACTTTGACCTATTTACAATAATCCCATGAAAGCTTGAAGTAGTGTAAAACCCTGAATGACATGTTCAAATTTAGGACCCATAATGTGGAGCAAAATGATTAGGAGCAAGAGTAAGTCAGAGTGTTAATGTAGCTGAATGGCCTGTTTCCACACTGTAGGGATCCTATGATTCTGGCAGTAGGGCATTGAGGCTCTCAAACCTGCCCCTACATTCAAAAAGATCATGGTTGATCTGCCCCAGCCCTTAATGTGCCAGCTCCTCATAGATTTTTGAAATATCAGGGAGTTGATTACTGTCTACCTCCTCTTTAGATACATTGTAATCTAGCCTCCAATATGTGTTTTTAAAAAATTGTATATTGCATATTATTTTTCATTCTATATTTCCTGAGTATTTTGACTTTTAAGTTATTTCAGTTAGGAATGTTTGGTAGAGCAAGTGAGAAATGTCTGAAAGGCTTAGTTGTTTCTCATAAAGTTGCAATTTTCAGAAAGTCTCAAATTTGAATGAGGACTCCTGGAACAGATTGAGTGCATGCACTAAAATGGTGCTTGCACCTCAGGAGCACACTACCAAGTTTTTATTTGAGAAGGATGCTATATGGAGGTAAATTATTGTATACTGGTCTGTCATTGTCTGAGCTAATTGAAGGAGAGCGGTGTACATGTTTCAAAAAGAATGGGGTAACTCTAAGTGTTGCATATAACCTGCTGTTATTTTAAATTGATAGCTCTGTTCTACTTCCACTGTCTGTGGATAAGTTGTGTTCCCAACATTGTAGCTTGAATTTCCCAGTTATCAATGCAGATGGCTTCACATCCATGTCATAACTTCCCTCCTCCCTCCAGACTTCATTTCAACTTTACTTAGCATTTTTATTGTCACTAGGTTGTAAATACTTCCACGATTGACCATGGCTCATTGCTCTCTCCTCCTTGGGTGTAAATCCAACATAGGTGCACACCCTCACTGTCACCTCACCTCTCTCACTACATCATAGCTTGCTCAACGGCTGTTGAAGGTTCTTGGAATATCCCCACTTGCCTGTTTTAAATCCAGTTGATAAACAACAATGAATCCTTCCCATGATTCTTGTGTCTTTAAAATTAATATCACATGGAAGATCTACAGATATTTTATTCTTGATCTCAAATAAAGAATTCCAGAATGTACAGAGCATTTCCACTCTGACAAATGATACACAAATGAAATACAGCTTGGATTTTCACACTAAAAGTGCTCATGGCATTTTCAAAACTTCACTTTTGATCTTTTTTACTTCAGTTAAGGGCTTTAGGGTATATGACTGAATAAAGGTGTTTAATCCAAACCCAGCTTGTTGGCACACTCAAGTCAGAAGATAACAAATGACAAAAAGTCAGATAAGAGAGCCCACCAGAACAAAGTAACATCAATCAGCATCAGGCCAGCGCTGTTCACCTGTACCAACTGTGGACAGGAATGCAACTCCTGAATAGGGTTCTACAGCAGCAGTACGCTTTGTTTAATCCAGAGCGACAAGCTCAGCAGGTGCAGCCCATTGTCTTCTGAGACAGGCAGATGGCAGAGTTAAGCCGAGGAAAGCTAATGCTGAGTCAGTACAAGCAGTTCCCTAAAGGGTCGTCCCCAAACTACTGTAGAGCTGCCTCAGTGGGTTTTTTAAAGACTGTTTTTGACAAATAATACTGAAGGTTTCTAACATATTGAAGAAAAACTATTTGCTTTAGTAGACCTTACAATCTTGCAGTAAACTGTCGATGCCTTACTTTCTCTTGCCTAGTTGGGGGAAAAGCCAGCATGGACCACAGATTCTGGTTGTTCTCTGATAAACCACTCTGGCCAGCAAGCACTCACCCTGACGCAGTGTGTAACATGGGATAGTGACCCAAAGATCACTTGTTAACACTCGGGAGTTGAAACCTTTGTTGGCTTGACCTTGGCCACTGACTGCATTGCCAGACTAATAAGAAGGCATATCTCCTTTCCTAATGGACATTAGTGAGCCAGATGGGTTTTTATAACTATTGTTCATAATTATCATGTCAACTTTACTGAGGGTAGTTTCCAATTCCAGATTTTAAATTCTACTAACTGCTGTTTTGGGATTTCGAGCAAACCTTGTCACCAGCCTGGGTCTCTGAATTAAGTAGTTCAGTGACAGTGTCACTATGTCACCATCTCGTATTCGTAGTCCCCCGCAGACTCGGGGAGATATCCTTCAATAGTGTGGGATTCAAAGCAGAATTTCAAAAGTCGAATTGGAACCTAGTGAATCCATAGTGCAGGATGGAACAGCTAACTTTATCTGAAGCAAGTATTTTTTTTCAAAGCATTTGTTAAAGTTACAACCTGCAGATGTTCCAGTTCAGAGTTGATAATTGCCATCTAACTGACACAGATTAAACAATGTGTTGTCAAATTTGATAATCATTAAACCCTTCAAGTCTGTTAACTGGTTCCCTGTTCATGTCTGATTTCTTAAATGCTCCCCTAGGAGTTTGAACTTGATGTTGTATCAATTGTGAATGACACAGTTGGGACAATGATGACGTGTGCTTATGAAGATCCACATTGTGAAGTTGGAATGATTGTGGGTGAGTAATGTGCTGAACTTTCTAAAACTTGCCATATACAGCTGGTTTACAGCACCTGTGTTTGATGAAAATTTGAAGTAGTTCTGACACCTTGGATGAAATGTTAAAATGTAACAGCCATGATTGGAGCTGTGCTGAATGACATGCCAAGTAAACTAATAAGCATCACCATTGTACCTAGTGATTTGTCTGAGAATGTCATCTGACATTCTCAAATGCTCTCAGTATGCATGTACAAAATGCTCATATGCAGTACCCCTGCCAGTATTGTCAGTGATGTCATTGTACCCCTTTCACTCATTTATTGTGCTTATGTGAGCACCACCATGTGTTTTACTGGCAAAGTGTTTCACATGGTGTGTATACTCAATCTTTCAATATAATGGGAACAATTTGGGGTGTCAGGAGACAATATATTTATCTCGGTGATTTTCAGTCAATAACATTAATGATTAGAACATTAGAAAGCTTGCAAGTTGAAGTCCATTGATCATCCATGCCAACAATGAAAAGCTGTAAAGTGTTGTCATGTGTTGGAGATCTTGTGATTTTTTTTCTTTGCTTTGTGTTTCTGGTGGGTGCCTGGTCTGCCAGGAGCAGAAAACTTGCCAGTCCTCACCCAAACTTCTGATATCCCCAACATCAAAAGAGCAGAGTTACAAATGAATTTATATAGTCCACAAGTCATAATATTCATCCTGTGAAATTAAATGGAGTCTAGTTTTGTCAAAAATGGATAAATTTAAATTAACTCAAAGTACTAATTGATATTAATTGTTGGACTGGCCTATCTCCGGCGCGCGCGCTCCCTCCCACCCCGCGCGCGCTCCCTCCCCCGTCTCTCTCTCGCGCGCGCGCTTCCTCCCCCTCTCTCTCAACAGTTCAGATTTAGCTCTATTCACAGATTGCCCCAAAACTCCTTCCTTTACATTTTGCTGCATTTTTTCACTCAGATCCACCACAGCTGTAGGGTAGTAAAATCTCATCTGAGTCAGAAGTCTTCAAGCTTAGTCCCCGTTATGACCATAAAATAAGGGAGTAGGAATAGCCCCTCCAGCAGGTCATGCCCATTCACTAATGATTATCTGATCTGACTGCGTGGCCTTAACTCCATTTTCCTGCCTGACCATTTAACTTCTGATTATCAATGTCTGGCCAGCTCTGCTCTAAATATATTTTTAAAACTTCTTTTTTCACTCGTGGGATGTGATCATTGCTGGCTGGTCAGCATTTACTTCCTGTCCCTAGGTGCCCTTAAGGTGGTGGTGAGCAGCTTTCTTGAACTGCCGTAGGTAGACCCACGATGTCTTCAAGGGGGGAATTCCAAGATTCTGCAACAGTGAAGGAACAGTGATGTATTTCCAAACCAGGATGGGGAGTGTTTTGGAGGGGAACTTGCAGGTGGTGGTGTTTTCATGTACCTTCTGCCCTCTTTATCCTTCTAGAAGGATATGGTTGTACGTTTGGAACATAATATCAATGAGTCTGATCACCACTGCTCCCTTGAGGAGCGAATTTCAAAAATTAGTGACCTCAGAGGATTTGCCTCCTGATCTCCATGTTAGATAGGAAACCCTTTATTTTGAAACTATGCCCCCTAGTTCTTAGATTCCCCCAAAAGGGGAAACATCCTCTCCGCATCCAGCCCCCTCAGTCATTTTTTTTTTTGTTTTAAATTACCTGTCATGCTTCTGATGAATATGGGCCCCAATCTAATCAATATTCCTGATGTGGAGGTGCTGGTGTTGGACTGGGTGGACAAGGTCAGAAATCACACAACACTAGGTTATAGTCCAACAATTTTGTGTTTTCAAATAAACCTGTTGGACTATAACCTGGTGTTGTGTGATTTCTAACCTTACTCAATATTTCCTCACTAGAAAGTCCCTTCATCCCAAGAATCAGCCAAGTGAATGACCCCTGAGCAGCTTCCAATGCAAGCATGCTGTTTCTCCACCAACCCCTATCCTTTTAAGTAAGGGGACCAAACCCATACATAATAATCTGTGTGGTTTTCACCAATACCCTGTACAGTTGTAGCAGACTTCACTAATTTTGTACTCCATCCCTGGTCTTGAAATAAGACCAACATTCAATTTGCCTTGCTAATTACTTGCTGTACCTGAACAATAACATTTTGTGATTCATTTGCAAGGACACACAGAACTTTATTTAATGCAGCATTCTTTACAATTTTTCCTGCTAAGTGGGCAACTTTACTGTTTAAACATTGTAGCTCATTGTACCACATTTTATATTCACCTAACCTATTTATTTCTTTTTGAAGAATCTGTGTCCTCATCATTTTTTCCTGTCTATCTTTGTATTATCAGCAAATTTGGCTGCAATACAGTTCGTTACATTATCCAGATCATTAATATGTCATAATTGAAGTCCATACTGATTCCTGTGGTACTTCATTTGTTACAGTTTGTCAATTCAATACAACCCATTGATCGCAATTTTGTTTCCTGTTGGTTAGCCAGTCCTGTGTTCATGTTGATGGATCACTCCCAACAAAGACTTTAATGTGAAACCTAGTTTAATATTCCAATGCACTGTCAGAGGTTAACCTTTAGATAAAATTTAAACCAGTCCCTGCCTGTTCTCTCTGCAAACAAAGGAAAAAAATCCCATGGGCTAAATCTTGCATTTCTTTGAGTCCAGGTTACATTGAGTTCTTTGGAGGGTTTTGCTTGACCTGTGAGCCAAGTGAAGGGAGAAATATGGCAGAGACAACTGATTGTGTGCTCTTAATATAGGTACAAGAAAGGAAAACTAAATTTAAGAGGAAAAGAATATTTATCTGAATAAAGAAAAATCTTTTGAGGAAAGGGCAGGAGAAGAAAGCTAAGCAGAAAGTTGTGCCCAAAGCAGGGCACTGGCTCATCTCTGTAACCAAACTTATCTCTATCTGTCAAAGCACATGTGATTCACCCCCAACTGCTCAACATCACAACTATATGGCTGTAGCAACTCCATTTCCTCAAGTTGACCCAGTGCTACTGCCCTGGCTTCTCTGCTAGCAGCAGGACCCACTCTGACCATTAGCCAGATGGGCCTGGATCCCTGATTGCCATCTCCATCCCAAGTCCCTGTTTCTTCCTTTCCAAGATCTCAGTACTAAATACTCAGCATGTGCCGTTATTTGTCTGTTGTCCTTACAAACTCCCCACTTCTTCCCATTCGGCTCCGACAATCGTTCCCTCGAAGTCGCACCATTTTGTTACTTCAGATTTAAATCAGCACATAGTTCACATTGTTCTGCTTGATCTAAATCCTGTCCCCTTCACCTTTTTCCTTAAAGCTGCTCCCTTCACTTCTGAATCCTCTACTATATCAAATTCAAAATCCCCCATAGCACAGGTCTTCAACCTTGCTGTGAGTAACTCTCAATTGTGTGAATGGTGGCAACACTTCAAAGGTATTTATTAGCTGCTTCTGAGAAATCAAAGGCTACTAAATGTGCTACATACATTCAAGTACTTTCTTTCCAATTACTCTGGAGATACATTCTGCTCCCTTGAGCATCTCATGACATTTTTAAATTTTTAAATTTCTGCTTTCCAAACGTTGTGTTCTCCAAATCCAAGGTGGAATTCTGAGAGTGAATTCCCAAACTTGTGCTTCATATATATTTGATAAATTTAATTTTAAATTACAAGGCTATTTGTGACATGATATTTTGATGCAGCCTTTGACATTCCTGTTTGTGCACAGGGACTGGCAGTAATACTTGCTATATGGAAGAAGCAAGAAACACCGAGCTTGTAGAGGGAGATGAAGGGCTCATGTGCGTGAATATGGAGTGGGGTGCCTTTGGTGACAATGGATGCCTTGATGATATCAGGACAGAGTACGACAATGCTGTGGATGATCTGTCATTAAACCAAGGGAAACAAACGTGAGTTGATGGATTGGAGATACACCAGCCTGAAATATTTTAACTACAATGGGTAGCAGATGTTGAAATTGTTTCATTTTTGACTTAACATTCGGGAAGTTTTGTTCATGTTTAAGATAAACAACACAAGCATCAGGCTGGAGTTTCATTGCTATTAAGCTTCCTAGAGTAGTGGTCAGCTGCTGCTGTTCGTACAGTAAGCTGTATCTGTACCTGTGAGGTTTGTGTCATGCATACTAAGTGCAGCGTTTTCAATTATTGATTTACTTTTGTGGAATAAATTTTAAATAGTTACTGGGATATAAACAGAAACAGATTACCCAGATTTTCCAGTCAGTGTGAAGTTGGGACACTTAGCCTGACTGCAATCATTGTTACACATCGTCATTGCATCCTTCCAGCCTGATCTTTCTATCCCAGCTATTGTATTGATGCTTCCACACAGTCATCTATAGAGAACACAGGAGCCATGTAGAGCAGCTGATGCAGTCAGTAAAGTGTTTAAAGATCTCATTGAGTGGGGTATTGAGTGGAAGAGATGGGTGCACGTAAGGGAGTTTGGGCAGTGTGGTTGATGGGAGAGTGGAAGGTAGGAGGCTGTGGGAGTGCAGATTTGGACTGTACGGCCATTGGAGATGTGATTGGGGATTACTTGGATGGTGAGTTAAGTTCCGCCATTCATCATTGAGTTACACCAGAGACCAAATGGTGTAATATCTATAAGGTAAATATCTTAGGATATTAAATTAGGAGGTATCGTTGATAGCAAAAAAGGTTATCAAAAATTAGAGGTATCTGGATCAGATGGGGAAGTGGGCTGAAGAGTAGCAAATGCAATTCAATACAGATAAGTGTGAGGTGTTGCACTTTGGAAAGTGGAACCAAGGTAGGACTTGTACAGTAAATAGTAAAGTTCTGAGGAGTGTTGTGGAACAGAGGGACCTAAAAGTAAAAGTACAAAGTTCGTTGAAGGCAGCGCCATAGGTGGACAGGATGGTGAAGAAGGCATTTAGCATGCTGGCCTTCGTTGGTCGAGGCATTGAGTATAGGAGTTGGGATGTTATTTTAGTTGTATAAGTTGGTAGCCACAAATGGAATATTGTGTACAATTTTGGTCACCCTGTTTTAGGAAAGACCATTGCTAAACGGGAAAGTGTGTAAAGAAGACTTACAAGGATGTTGCCAGGACCAGTAGGCATGAGTTATAGGAAGAATTTGGACAGGATAGGACTTTATTCCTTGGTACGTAGGAGAATGAGAGATGACCTTTATTGATGTATATAAAATCATGAGGGGCATAGATAGGATGAATGCATGTAGTTTTTTTTTTCCCCAGGGATGGGCAATTGAAAACTAGAGGGCATAGGTTTAAGGTGAGAAGGGAAAGATTTAAGGAGGACCTGAGGGGCAACTTCTTCACTCGGAGTAGTGCGTATATGGAATGGACTCCCAGAGAAAGTGGTTAAGGCAGGTACGATAAGCAACATTCCAAAAACATTTGGATAGGTACATGGATAGGAAGGGTTTAGAGGGATATGGACCAAATGCGGGCAGTTGGAACTAGCTGAGTGGGCACCATGTTCAGCATGGACCAGTTTGGGCCGAAGGGCCTGTTTCCATGCTGTATTACTCTGACTCTCTATGACTGTAAATAGTGTGTTTCTAACTCAAGTTCGCAACACTGATATCAGTATAAAAGTTATCTACAGAGGGTTGCGAAGGCTGTGCGAGTTAGACCATCAGCAGTTTAAACTTCCTGAGATATCTCAATGCACATCCATGTGTCAGCAATTTTGTTGATTCCTAAATTGCAACTGCAACTGCAACAGCAACAGCAACAGATGTATCAAGATTCACACTATTGACATCAGACAATCTAGCCCAATGTCTACGCAATAATTGGGATATGGATGGGCTTTAAATGGAAAATGTTGCACAAGTAAGTAAGGGTTTCTTGATTTTTGTCATGGCAGATATGAAAAAATGATCAGTGGGATGTATCTGGGTGAAATCGTGCGAAATGTGGTCATCGATTTCACCAGACGAGGATTCCTGTTCAGAGGACAGATCTCCGAGAGACTAAAGACAAGAAGCATCTTTGAAACCAAGTTCCTGTCCCAGATAGAAAGGTATGCAGCTTTTTCTTTAGTTTACTTATCCAGTTTGACAATGCTGACATTTGTGATTGACATCCCATTTTGTTTCTGTTTGTGAACAGTGACCGCCTAGCTCTGCTCCAAGTCCGTGCAATCCTTCAGCAACTTGGCTTGGACAGCACTTGTGACGACAGTATCATCGTTAAGGAGGTGTGCGGAGCTGTTTCTAAGAGAGCAGCCCAGCTCTGTGGTGCAGGAATGGCTGCTGTTGTTGACAAAATAAGGGAGAACCGGGATTTAGATCACCTGGAGATTACTGTTGGTGTAGATGGAACTCTCTACAAACTTCACCCACAGTAAGTGGTTTAACTTGCTAAAGTTATTTTTGTGATGATTAAGATTAAGGGTAATGTGCTGAAGAATGGAACACTTTCAGTTCAGGCCCAATCTCTAGAATATTTATTGAAAATTGAGGAATGCAAGCAGATGTAAAATAAAAGTACCGCTATGTTGCTCCATCAGTTTGCCTCAGTAGATACCCAATATTGAACCACTAATCCTCTTATACTATGGTCTCAAATGGAAACATCCTCTCCATATGCACTCTGTCAAGGCCCCTCAGGACTTTGTATGGTTCAATCAAGTCACCTGTTACACTTCTAATCTTCAGCAGCTACAAGCCCAGCTTGTCCAACCTTTCCTCATAAGATGACTTGCCCATTCCAGATATTAGTCTGGTAAGCCTCCTGCTCTGAACAGCCTCCACAACACTTATATCTGCCTTTAAATAAGGTGATGCATATTATGCACAGTAATCCAGATCCAGCCTCACCAGTACCTTGTATCACTGAAGCATAACCTCCCTACTTTTGTATTCAATTCTCGTTGCGATAAATGGTAACAGTTTATTAGTTTTCCTAATTAATTGCTGGACCTGCATACTAACCTTTTATGATTCATGCACAAAACCACCTCAATCCGGCTGCATCTAAAAGCTATGTGAGCCCTCGCCATTTAGATAAAATGCCTTTTTTTTTAATTCTTCTGGCCAAAATGGATAGTTTTTCACATGTTTCCATGTTATATTCCATTTTCCACATCTCAGCACTCACCTAACCTATCAATATATTTTGGTAATCTTTGTGTCTGCTTTACAACTCACTTTCCTACAAATCTTTGTGGCATCAGCAAATTTGGCAACCATCTCTTTTGTTCCTTCATCTAAGGCATTTTCAAATTATAAAGAGTTGATTCCCCAGCACCAGTTACTGTAGAGCACCACTCATTTGCATCTTGCCAACCTCAAAATTACACATTAATAGGGCTGTTCTAGGTTACAAAGGGACATTGATAGAATGCAGAGTTGGGCTGAGAAGTGGCAGTTGGAGTTTAACCCTGAAAAGTGTGAGGTGATTCATTTTGGAAGGACAGATTTGAAAGCAGAATACAAGGTTAACAAAGATTCTTGGCAGTGTGGAGGAGCAGAGGGATCTCGAGGTTCGTGTCCACAGTTCCCTGAAAGCTGCCACCCAGGTGGATAGAGTTGTTAAGAAGGCATGTAGTGTGTTAGCTTTCATTAAGGAGGGATTGAGTTCAAGAGCCGTGTAGTTATGCTCCAGCTATACAAAAGCTTGGTTCAGCCACATCTGGAGTATTGTGTCCAGTTCTGGTCGCCTCATTACAGGAAAGATGTGGAAGCGTTGGAAAAGGTGCAGAGGAGATTTACCAGGATGTTGCCTGGAATGGAGGGAAGGTCTTACGAGGAAAGGTTGAGAGAGCTAGGGCATTTCTCTTTAGAGCGACGAAGGATGAGAGGTGACTTGATAGAGGTGTACAAAATGATCAGAGGTATAGATAGAGTGGATAGCCAGAGACTTTTTCCTAGGGTGGAGGTAGCTATTATGAGGGGCATAGTTTTAAAGTGAGTGGAGGTAGATATGGGGGAGACGTCAGAGGTAGGTTCTTTACTCAGTGTGGTTGGGGCGTGGAATGCGTTGCTGGAGAGGGTAGTGGAGTTGGCCTCATTGGGGGCATTTAAGCGGCTATTAGATAGGCATATGGATGATAGTATAAGGTAGGGGTGGAGGTTAGATAGACCTTAGGTTTAGGGTAAAAGTTTGGCACAACATCATGGGCTGAAGGGACTGTACTGTGCTGTACAGTTCTATGTTCTAATACCTACTCACTGCTTCATTGGCTGGCTGACAATCTTCTATTCATGCCAACATGTTAAACCCTGTACGCCATCAGAATTTAATGTCTGTCCATAATGCCATGATGGTGAGCAGCCTCTTGGACTGCTGCCGTTCACATGTAGGGACAACAGTGTGATGAGGAGAGTGTTCCAAGATTTTGAGCCAGCCATAGTGAAGTAATGGTGATATTCCAAGTTAGTATAGTTTGAGAGTTGTAGGAGAGAGCCAGCGGGTCGTGGTGCTCCCATGTATCTGTTGCCCTTACCCTTTTAGAAGGAGAATTCAAAGGAGCCTTGGTGAGAGAGTGCATCTAATAGATGGTACGCACAGCAGCTACTCTGTGTGTCACTGTTAAAGGGACCAATGTGTACATAAGAGTACTCTGCAAGCAGGGGTGCTCTTGGGTGCAGATCAGGTGTAATTCCATGCAGGTTTTAGGAACTTGTGCTTGCTACAGTATATATCAGAAAATTAAAACATCTGCTCATGATTGAAATGAGTGAATAGTGCTTGGAGAAGATGAATCTGAATAAACAAAGCACAAATTCAAAAAACATTTTAAGTAAGACAAAAGTGTGAACTGCTTTTTGGTGCTTTGATGTTCTGCCTGAGGTCAGTAAGTCAGTCAAGACTGCAGGACTAACTTAGTTCCCATTCCCAACTAATTGCCTGAACCTTCCTTCTAAACATATTCTGCTTGCAGTCAGAGGGGGTTTGTAATGGGCTGTAATCCTTAGTTTATTGTATGTCCTATCAACTAACCCATTGTAGAGCCATGCTTCTCATTTCTTGGTGATGTGTTTTATGGGACAAGAACTAGGCAATGTGTGTTCTTACAATAACACAGATATTGTTTCTTTGCTCTTAACAGTTTTTCAAAGATCATGCACAAAACGGTAAAAGAACTGGCCCCAAAATGCAATGTGACGTTCCTGTTATCAGAAGATGGTAGTGGAAAGGGCGCTGCTCTTATTACAGCAGTGGCATGTAGACTTCGTGAATCTGGACAATAAGAGCTCTCGTGAACAGCACCAACTCCTGGGACAGGGGTAGTATTGCGTATTCCCTGCACTTTCCTTTTTAAAACAGCTATGGCTCCATTGTCATAGTTGAGGTTTTCAGTGTGTTCTGCTGAGCACTGCATAGATAAACATGCAAAAAAACTTCCATATGAAATGCCAAAAAGACCAGTAGCAACACACAGGTTAACTAGAAACTGCTGGATTTGCAAAAGTCCCGATTCCAAAATTACTGTGCTCTGTCAGCTCCAGTTTTGTGCTTACTGTCATCAAATACACTAGCTTTTAAACTGTCTGTTCATGATTTTCTTAAGGCTGTTGAAGGGGATAAAACTGGATTCGAGCTCCATCTAGCCTGTTTTTGTTGTAGTGGTACAGCATTCTCTAAGTAAAAAGGATATCCTGATTTACCTCTTTATTACATAATTTTGTGAAGTATTGTATCGTGTCTTAACAAAGGTATATATATTTGGTAACTTAAAATTCCCCTGAGAAATGAAAACAGTTGTTAAAATCTGAAATACATTTTCAGGAAATATAGTTGTTTGATGTGTTACACATTGTTGTCACCTCTTGTAGATGAGTTTAAGATCTGTGTAAAATGCATGCCTTATTGACAAAGCAGAACCTTTAATTTTATACTCTCGTAGAGGCGCACGTGTTTTAAAGTGACTTTGTGAATACATTAAACTTGATCTAATGTGCTTCATTTAGAACACTGAGAGTTCTTTGGGAGAATTTGGTAGGGAAGAAACCTGTTTGTGGGGGGGTGGGGGGTGGTGATAAATAGATTATTGAGGTACAAGAATGGCTCAGGCCTGAAATGTGATTATAGTAGGACTGAACATGGGAATGGCCAGTGCTCTAATGAAGCTGATGGAAATGATATGTAGCTTACGCAACAATGAATTTTTCAAATTTTATACACTGTACTTGACAACCCAGGAAATCAAATTTTACTTATTAGCCTCAATGCAAGTTATCTTCTCATTTAAACAAAGTGTTCATGAAGTGGCACCAGTGAAAACTTCATCTGCTTCATCAATGACATTCCTTCCATCAAAAGACCAGAATCCACTGATGACTGCACAATGTTCAGCAACATCTGAGATATATCAGATCTGAACCAATCCATGCCTAAATGCAGCAAAACCTGGACAAAATCCAGGCTTGGTTTGACAAGTGGCAAGTAAAATTCACACCAAACAAGTACCAGGCAATGACCATCTCCAACAAGAGAATCTAACCATCATCACTTGGCATTTTGTGGGAACTCCATCACTCACTATTAACGTCCTGAGGTATTACCATTGTCCAGAAACTGAACTGGTCTAGCACTATATATACAATGGTTATAAGAGCAGTTCTGAGGTTAGGAATCCTGCAGCAAATAACTCACCTCCTGACTCCCCAAAGCCTGTATACCATCTACAGTGTTTAAATCTGAGGGTTGATGGAGTACTCCCCACTTGCCTGGATAAGTGCAGCTCCAACAACACTCTAAGTTTGGCACTATCCAGGACAAAGCATCCCACTTAATTGGCACCACACCTTTAAACATTCTCTTCCTCCACCACCAATGCTCAGTACTGTACTGTCTACAAGATGCACTGCAGAAATTCACCCGGCTCCTTATACAGCACTTTCAACCTTCTCAAGATCGCTACCCTCTAAAAGGGGAATAGATACAACGGGAACACTACTAATTGCAGGTTCCCTATAAACTACTCACCATCCTGACTTGGAAATGTGGGCTGGATTGTCTAAGGAGTGGCAAGATTACCTCTTCTGTCCATTTTTTTTTCCTACAAGTGATTTGATCTTCATGTAGGGTAGTTTGAGGAAGGCAAGTCACACCTCCTTATTCACAAGTCAGTTGTCATATTCTGTAATGTAAATGTCTAGCTACACAGCCTTTGTGACAGATGAAGTATGTCAGGTAAGTGTCACATTAGACAGTGGGTAGAATGCCAAGATGCAAGCTGGTAAGAGTCCCAGGTAAGTGACTGAGTGTTTAGGATAGGTCAGAATGGGTGAGGAGATATTGGGCTTTGGGGACAGGGTGAGGACAGCCTTAGGTCCAGCAGTGAGGGTAGGTAGTATCAGGTCAGCGTCTGAGAATGTGTAATTGGGGGTTGTGTGGTACATTGGGGAATACTAGGATGATAGTTACCCAGGGGCTAGACTAGATATTTAAATGCCTGACTTCTCCTCCGTAACTGCTTACTTAACTGCAGCAGAACTCATCAAATTCTCTGATTTAAATAGATACTTGCAGGGGGTTCAGGTCATAAGGAAACTGCCCATTGAAATCTTCAACTTTCTTGGCAGTTCCCTTAGTATTGGAAATTCTACAGTTTTCCATGTGCAGCTCCCAGCTGTGCTGCAGAAATAATTATCTGGCCATTGGAAAACCCAGGCCTTTATTGCAGTTCCTTCTCTGTCCTGGAGCTCCCTCCCCAACCTACACCAAATGGATGCAATGGTTCAAGGAGGCAGCTCACCACCACCACCACCTTGAGGGCAATTAGAGGTGGGTAATAAATATTGGTCCTGTCGGTCATGCCTATATCCCATGAATGAATGAATGAATGAATGAATGAAACAAAAATGTTGTCATTGAAACCTGTTCTTCACATTGCTGCCTGTGAATGCTCAGCTTGTAATTGAAGCAAGTAAGATCATAATGAAAGCATATACTACAGAACACCAATTCCAACAAGTCACCCTATGTAAGCAAGTCAGAAGTTTACAAAGAACTGCCTATCCCACTTGATTTGATTTTTTGATTTATTGTTTCACATACCTAAGTACAGTGAAAAGCTTTGTTTTGCAAGCAGTACAGGCAGATCATAACAAACAAGGACATGCAGCTCATAGGGTAAAGTGCAGAACGGTTGTAAGAAATGTGAGAGTAAGATCTACTGTAGAGAGCTCGCAAAGAGTCACCAGGTGTCAGCACTGTCTTGAATATGTTTGCTGATCCTCAACCGAATAGCCAACAGGAGCTGTACTCGGAGGTCCTGTGAAAGCAACTCCATTACGCTTTGCTATAATTCTCGTCATGAAGCTTTTAATAATAATAGAAATTGCATTGTCAGTTTGGTTCACACCCTCTAATCGGATGTTTGGCCAACGCCCATACAGACATGCCTGTACAGTGGAAGTGGAGCGGAATCTCGGGGAGGTAGAAAAGGGGGGTGAGGAAGACTATGGGATGAGAAATTTTAGGAGAGAGAGGGAGACTGTGTAGGATTGCACATTAGCAAGTTGCTATTATTTAATGATAGGGAGGTGGGAGGCACTTTGATTCTGAGGTGGAAGATGTGGTATTTTATGAAGCTATAGAAAATGGAAAACAGTGGGGGTCTGACTTTGGGATGTGGAATTTTTTGATTTCGTGACGGCAGCTTGAGATAAAGTCAGTGGTGTGTTTGCGATGTATCAAGCCTTGTGCCAGCCTGTGGCAGGTTCCTATTTTACATAATATGCATACCGTGAAAGGTCATTTTTAATAGTTTCACACTAATGATTAATCTTGAGGCTGGGCAATTTCAAAGCTGAGCTAGATAGATTTTTAATCAGTAAGGAAATCAAGGATGAGGGGGAAAAGACAAAGTAGAGCTCAGAAATATCATCAGCCATGGTCTCACTGAATACATTCCACCATTCAGTGTGTCAAATGATCTACGTCTTATGGTCTCTTAAAGTCAGCAGCACATGAGAATATCATTGCACCTAATCCACATTTGTTTAAAGGTGACATGCACTAAACAGCCTCCTGCAGTTGTCTGGCCAGTGATTTTCCTAGTTGAACACTGTTGTGGCATACAGTACAAGTGCAGAAGAATGGCTGCTTGCAAAGAGTAAGAATTGGCAAGAGTGAATCAGTGATGACAAATGGATATGCTGTTCATCTATAGCCTTTAGAATGCACGGAAAAGTGGACCAGCTGAGCCTGCGAATTCAGCACTGGACACTTATATGAATATTCCGATGAGGAGTGTACATGAAACCACGTCATTATTTTTCAGAATAAATGAAATGCCCCTAACCTCCCTGTCATCATCAATGCATGCCATCAAAATTTAAAAACATTTTTGCCACCGTTGTGCACCCAATGCCAATTGAGTGAGCTGGAAAGTTCTGATCATACTGCAGAACCTCCCATTTTGACCAGGAGGGTGTCTCATAGCTCTATGAAACAACAGGTACACCAATGAACAGCATCCGATACCACATGGCCATACATGTCACATGCTCATCACTGACCCTTCTATTTTAATCACAATCATGTGGGAAATAAGGAAAAGCAAGAAATGCCCTCTGATTCCACCATTGGGAATGGTGCACCAGTGGAAAAAAAATCCCACTCCATTTCTCCCTTTAAATTTTTTCTCTCTTTCTGTCCACCCCCACCAACCACACCGCCCCACCCCCACAATAAACCTGTGCTCAGCCCACTTGCCAGATGCATTCACCCCTTTTGACACCTGGGTCTTCCCTGTTTCCTAACAGGTACCCCATCTTCTCCACACTCAGCTGCTGCTTTTTGCCTGATGGCAGGAATTACCTGGCTCTTGGAGCTTCTAATGCAGTAGTTGTGGTGTGAACCAAAAAACAAAGATCTTGTACAATGGGAGATTGAAATTTCATAAGGTAAACATAATCATATCTGTCATGGCTGTTTTCCCTGGCGCATTGGAGGCTGGGAGGTGACTTTATGAAGGTTTTTTAAATCATGAGGGGCATGGATAGGATGAATAATCAAGGTCTTTTCCCTTGGGTAGGGGTTAAGGTGAGAGGAGAAAGATTTAAAGGGACATGAGGGGCAACTTTTTCACACAGAGGGTGGTGTGTGTTTGGAATGAGCTGCCAGAGGAATTGGTGGAGGCTGGTACAATTACAACACTTAAAATGCATCTGGATGGCCTATAAATGGAAGGGTTTAAGGGGATGTGGGCCAAATGCTGGCAAATGAGACTAGATTAATTTGCATTGGTCTGGTTAGCATAGATGAGTTGGACTGAGGGGTCGGTTTCCATGCTGTACAGCTCTATGACTCTGTGAACAGATGTTCTGTAATGTGGTATCACATGGTCAGATGCCGTGTTTGGTGGGCTTTTGTAATGTTATTGGATTAATTCCCTGGGTCAGAAATTCCAATCCCACCTCAGCTGCTAGTGAAATTTAAATTCTACCAATGAATTCTGAATTGAAAACTAATCTCACTAATGTTACCATGAAACCCTCATCTGTTGTAAAAGCCCATCTGGTTCAGGGATCTTCTGACAGTGATAGTGTCCCTACCTCTGAACCAAGACACACTGGTTCAAGTTACACTTGCCCCAGAGGTATGTCATAACATCTGAGCAGGTTGGTTAGAAACCTGACACCCGACTGTTTCACTAATAACCTTAAGGAAATGAAATCTGCTGTCCTTGCACGATCAGGCCTATATGTGACTCCACACCCACAGCAATGTGATTGACTCTTAAAACCGCCTTTGAAATGGTCTAGCAAGGGCAATTAGGAGTGGGCAACAAATGCTAGCCTTACCACTGATGCCCTCATCCTAAATCTCAATTGTGCTCAACTAGAGTTTGTAAATTCTACTTCCTGGGTGGATGGGGGAAACAAAACCTTGGCACTAAGAGCAGGGAAGTTCTTGCCTGGTTATTATTTTCCCTCTGGTTATTTACCTAAACATTTTCCT